CGACAATGTTGATGCTGAAGGACCATCGAATGTACTTTGTTCAAAGGGTAACCGATAATACACTGACTAGTTGTTCATTGTTATCTAACTCAATGTATGTTTTTAAGAACCGTGGACATTATAAAAATAGTTGTCACGTGGGCTTTCTCAGCTAACTTGGCACCTATGTGAAACAATTGAAACAAAATAAGTGATCAGTTAAGAAACAAACACGGGTTATACTATTCGATACATTTAAATAACGTTTAAAAACGATATATTTAAATATTTTAATATATTTCATATATATTCCAAATATTGTTTCCAAATATTGTTTCCAAATAATTATTATTAAAGTATCTGATTCTCACATAGACATTTTACATCGAATAAGTATTTTTGTACAGCTGCAGACGCAATGGATATTGTTCCTGTATGTTGATATTCCCGGATACATTATAACTTTGGTAGGTTGTTATAATGATATTTGCATTTTGTTTTCATTCATTCGCTGCAGCTTTGAACAGAATCATTCTTGTTCCTTTCCGTTTGGTTGGGAAGTTTTTCGATGCGCGATAGACGGTGTTTTCACAAGTATTTTCTTTTGTAAGCGTGTATATGTTACAGTCAATGTGTAAAATATGATTCACTCAGGCAATTTATTAAATATCTAAATATTTCAGTCATTTTACAAATTGACTGAATAATCCATTCATTTATTTAACCGACTGACTAAAAATGATAAAGACGACCAAGAGAGCTTAAACACATCACAATATATTAATTATGCTAAGAAAAGAAGCCAAACAATACAGAACTGTACTTGGTGATGGTATTAAACATATTTGGAATTCGTTATCATATTAATAAAGATGGACATATTTTTCAGTTAATTTGTGAAATAAACTGAATATTTAGGCGTTTTAATACATTTCCTTAGTGAAATCTGTTTACATTTTGAATGTAAACATATACACACGGTAAAATAAGCAATGTTCAGTGAAATATTTACTCTGTGTTGCAAGTCAAAATAGTGTACACGAAGATTGCACAATTACTAAGCAAGTGACTTATCAAAACTGCATCACCATTACCGATGCTCCCCACAAATATACCTACATTTCAAAAACTGTATTTCATTTTTGTTGATCAGTGTGACCATACGTCCTTCTACTTTCAATTAAAATGCGCTTACGAATGGCGAGCACAGGTCGCGAACAAGTCTAGATTTCTGCTATATCATCCGGGTACTCACTGGGAAAATACAGTAATGCACAGGTAACAACTACTCCCGCGGAATTGCTTTAGATCAGTGTCCTTTGTACGTTGAAATACTATATATTGTGAAAGACAAAATGATGTATCAAGGATCAAGTAGAAGATACATTGACCGTTGCGCTGGGAGTTTATTCAACAGACCGTGAAAATAACACTGCTGTATCTTATTATTTATTTTAGATGATGCAGTCAAAGCTCACTTCTCCTGGCGGCCATTATCAAACGGCCAGCTAAAACACAACCCCGCGCTTACGTCTACAGGTCTCTTCCTGTAGTACGGTAATTAGTATTCTCTCCCTCAAGTGTATCCTCAATGATATAACCCACCCTCATTAATTACATGCTGCTCTTTTCCAGCCTCACGGCTATGGAGCTGTGATAAAGAGTCCAAGTCATCATAAAGTAATCAGGGTCCAATAAAAACAATGCGCCGCCAAACCTCATACATATTATCACTGAAAGTCGTACTACAGACGGTTAATGTCAAATCACAATAAAAGCATTTCAATTGCAATAACATGTTCCAGGACCATGTATTCTCTTAACACCATCGGATTTAGAAGCAATGGTCGTATAAAACAAAACAGATCTATTTAATCGCAACAGTATTCATGTTATTCCCACAAAATCACATAAAGAAAGGAGACATTAGGAAATACATGTGTATTATCATTTTTCGTCAGGATAACAAAATTTTCTCTCCTTGTTACCACCTCCAGGTTCAGCTTAAGACGGGTCCTCCTTTGGTCAAAAGTTTGTTCCCCCTCTAATGAGTGTGTCACGCGTTGCACACGAGTGGCGGACGGGGTGCACACCCGTGTGCAACGCGTTTCACACGGGTCTCACACGCGTGACCAACCCGATGCACACTGGTTGCGTAACGCGTTGCCCATGCGTGTAAGGGGAATGAACTTCTAGGCAGTAGTGTATGTGTAATTTTGCTCTCTGCGTTGGTATCATCGACTTCCAAAACTGTATTCATGTTTGGCTGATGAGGCTTGGTTCAATGATGTGTTATCTGCCTGCTTACAATCATGATTGTAACAAAGGACTCATCAAACTGAACAAGATTAACGCCATTACACAAGTACATTTTGAAACTAATTTTAAAGTTAGTGAGCCGATCCCCAGACCGCTATGCTCACGTAGTCACCAGATCAATTTGGTATAATGTTTTCAAATGCACTCGTTCTATTACTTATAACATGTAAGAGTGAGGTCTTCTTGGGGCTATTCTTTTGCATTGATTGGTATTACCCAGTTCCAAACCTTTTAGCATAAAGTTAATTATTTGTTTCTTTTAGGATATATATTATAAGAACAATTCAGTGACTTTTTCATGCAGAAACCGGTTTCACAATATTGCCACAGAAGCATATACAACAAACTTATTGTTGACGTAAATCTACAGTCAGTAATAATTGTGGAAGAGGCTTCTGGTTTTGTATATGGAGACGACCTTGAATAAATGCTCTGAAATCATGAATAGACTATGTCCACAACTATCGAACATCTGCTGAGATCAAATAGTTAGGGTGCCTTGAAATCTTCTTCTATCTTATACAGATCTAGAACTTTACAATGCCCTACAGACGTGTGTTGTATTATTGTCACTTGCTTGGTAATTTTGAGATTTTCGTTTACACTATTTTGACTTGCAACACAAAGAAAATATTTCACCTGAGCATTGCTTTTTTTACAGTGTGTATATTTTTTACTGTCAAAATGTGTAACATTTTCAAATTTATTAAACGCCTAAATATCCAGTTATTTTACAAAGTGAATGAAAAACATTTCCATCTTTATTATTATGATAACAAATTCCAAACATTTTGATGTTTAATGTCATCACCAAGAGACTGAAAATGTTACGTTTACGTGTCTCTGTAACAATCAAATATTTTAAAAGATATATATCGTTTCAGGATATTATAACCCGTGTTCGTTTTTCAACTGATCACCTGGATTGTTTCATGTGTTTCACATAGGTGTCAAGTCTCAAGGGTCGGCTGAGAAGGCCCACGTGACAACTATTTTCATAACGTCCACGGTGCCTAAAAAATCCATTGAGTGATAGATAACAATGATCAATCAATCAACATATTGTCAGTTAACCCTTTGAACAAAGTATGTTGTTTTTACATCGGCACTTCACGCCATGATATGAGTGTATTCCCTTTGTTTTAGTAAACCTAGACATGTAAACACTCACTTTTGACATATCCATTGTGCAAGATAACAGTGATTAATCAATCAACGTATTTTCTGTTAATCCATTGATGACTAGGAACGATCCGTTGATTTACAAAAAAGTAAATCAACTGATCATTCATCTCTTGCTGGTCTGCCACGTGCATATTATATAACACACATTTCACCTCACTTCAAACCTGGATTTAGATTGAATAATTACCCCAGACACAATAAATGCCAAATGGGAACCTTTGTCGGGTAATCTAAGTGGTGCTACCACTAATTGTACCTGTAATAAATTCATTAACTGAGCATCAAGTGAATGACGACAAATACACAAGTGTAGCGTTATACCAGAAAACGTTGATGACAAAAAGGGAGTAGTAATCGTATTATCGACGCAATCAGAAATCCGAAAATGATTTCACTGCATGGATACTTTTTTTATTATTAAACTATAACCATCTGGGGTATTTCCAAATGACGACATCTGATGAGCTCCGCCGTTTTTATTGTCTGTTTGTTTAGGCTGAAGAAATTAATTAACATCCGCCCTTTGTCGAAATCTTTATTGATCACAGTTAACCAATCAGTGTTCATGCAAAAATGCGTAAAACAAATATTGCCTCCAGCCTCCAAGTTTATTTTGCTCTCCTTGCAGACGGAAGCCCAGTCTCTGGTCACGCTCAGTTGCGTTGCGTATCATCCGGGTACTCACGGGGAAAAAAACAATAACAAAGGCAACAACCAGTCCGGGGAATTGCGTTAGATCAGTGCCCCTTTAAGGCATCGTTACTCATCGGGTACATGAATGTTTAATACAGTGAAATCCTTAGGCTTTGACAAAGGAAAATATGTTTTTTTAATTAGCTATGTAATGCAGTCAGATTGGTGATTGATGAGAGAGGACAATTTGAATCCCTTTGTGCTTCTACAGATTATCAACGTGTCATGTGAATCGTTGTGAAATGATTTTGTACAGTTTGACTTGCATTTAGTTACAAAACACTCTATCACGGTTCATAACTCCTTACACTCAACCCGACAGCCCACTCACAGGAATATTAAGCACAAAATTTCGTTGCATAACTTTGCCCCCGTCATGACAGATGCACATACATGTACCAAAGTTAAGTTTATTAATTTTCAATATATTGAATGCTTTAAATATATATGAAAAATATAACAATATAAAGTGCTTGAAATTAAATGTAATATTGTAACACTGTAAAATTGGAATGTTCAACGTCCATTTCAAGTATGTGAAAGATAAAGTACTGTGAGTACACGTATAAGCCTGATGAAAATATTATATCTATACTTGTTGCCCGAGTAAAAATTGATGTTGATAAGCTAATTATCGTTTAGGCAAAGAAAACATTTGCATGCAATATTACTTATCCTTTTAGGAGAAAATGGCCTCGATTATTCATTATCTTTCTTATCTTTTTTTATGAATGCTGTTCTCTAGTTTAACAAAAGATGTGATCGTGATAACTTTGACTTTCTAAATACTTGTAGAATATTTCAGTAAGAGTTTATTTTTACAGGTATACATACTGACTGGCCGCTTGAGAATGAGTATCAGATGTTTTGGTGATGGCAGAAGCGCGTGAAGGTATGTTGTCTTTCCACATATAATAGATAAAAAAATACTTCTTCATATACACATGTTGAGGAAACGTAGTATGTTCGCATGATGCAGATACTGATATTACAATAACAATTTGTTGACGTTTAATATCTCATTTTATCATCACATCAGTGAACTTCAAAATAAAGATGAATCGCCATTATGAAATAAAATTAAAGCGAGAAAATCCATTCTATCATTATAAAAAACTCTGAAAACAGTTGCATGTTAATGAACTAAATCTTTGAATTGATCATGCATTTGTCAAATAGGGAATGAATATGTCAATAAATGTCGCAATAAATGATCAGTATGACTTCATAAACCATATGAAGTAAAGAGAATTAATAGACCAACAAGTCATGGAATGGCTGTAGTCCTGGGAGAAAATACTAACAACAATGATGTGTGTGTGTTGCCATGCCAGTAATTAAAACGACAAAACCCTTTCCAAAATCAGAAAGAATCCAATGTACGATTTTAACTGTTTCTTGTTTTTATAGAATCTGTAATTTAAGACAATGGTACCGTATTTAGTACACCTTAAGTTAAACAGGCAATTGTATGCATGTGTACGTCAAAATTGTTAGCTGTATGATATTCCGACAATTCAACTCAAGCCTAAAGTATCTTCTATATTATATTTTGTTGTATTGGTTGTGCAAGTGACATATTATAGTTTATTATCCCACTGAATATCTTCAAAAGAACATCCAACAATAACTTCATGGATCGGGTTTGCCGTTATATTTACATAATTTAGTGTCTTTGGATAAGTGTATATGTGTCGCTTTACCTTTCAGTGTGCCAAACATGTTCAGAGATAAAAGACAAACGGCAAAGAATCCTCTCATGTGAAAGTACATTCCTGTTCCTTCATGCAAATTCGTCATTTATCAACCTTCCAAATACAGATGAAGACAGGAATTCAGTGACGGAAAGGCGTAAGGATTTCGTTTGGAAGTTAAAGAAGTGCGTATCAGCTTTACGAAACTCTGGTGGGGGTGCTGTAATTGTTCATATTCATGACCTTGACTTTAATGATAATTACCTTGACCACTTCAACGAACTAGTTGATGTTAAACTCAATTCACTTATTGAAGATGGAAGTCTATTTGTTCAAGTGTATCGGAAGAACTGGTTACACACTCTCGCTGACAATACCACTGACGAAGAAGAGTTTGAAGAAGATCCTGATGATGAACCTGAAGAAGCTGGAATTGATTATAACGCTCTCTTCAAGAGTGTAGTTGGAGTGACAGTAACACCTTCATTTACAGTTGTGACAGTAGACTTCAACACAAAGGTCCCTCTTGATAACAGTGTTGAGGATCCTACAAACACAGAACTTCAGACGTTTCTCACCAGGAAGATTCCGTTTCGCAACACCAGTACAAGAATTCGTGGTTTGGATTGCCTACAAGAGACTCGAGGCATCCAAGTGAAGCGCTTTAAGGTCACAGACAGAGATCTGAAAGAGGAGCTTCTAAATGACCCACACAGATTTGCAAATTACATTTGGACACAATGTAAATTAAGATATTATATCAGCGCATTCTCCAAGGTTGAAGGGGGTGGGTCATTCTATCTTGGAGTTCTTGAGGAGGACATTACATATAGATCATACAAGTCTCACCGATATCAAAAGGAGGGATTCGACATTTCACTTGACAAGCATGATTTGCTTAAAGCACAAATAAAAGAACAAATAAGGAACGAAACACTTGTGCTTCCTTATGACAATAACGCTGTTGTCAGCAACCTATCTCCAGATTTAATTAAGATAGAATTTCATCCATTGGGGGAGTTGTTTATATTAGAAGTTGCAGCACCTGCTGTAAATGGACTTGTATTCCATGACAGAAAAGGACCAGAAGCATATGAACTAGATGACTGCAATTCGGAGAGGAGACTACCAGTTGTGGAGTGGCGTGATCGATTGCTAAGATGTAATATTAACAGTTCTTTCTACTACTAGCAACGCGTTGTCTGCACTGACACTTTGTTATAAAGCTCAAGTCACTTCTTGTCTTCTAATCTATATTGTGTAATATAAAGGCATATTTCGACATGCTTTAGATGAGTTTTGCCTCATGATCTGCCACTAGAAACATTATATAATATACTAAACACTTGTCATTTCAGAAAGCAAACATGACTTCTTCAAAACAAAGACATCTTGAGATTAAGGGTAAGTTTGTAATGTAACTTTTAAACAAGACATTTCAACATCTTTAACTACATTGGGTAGTGGATTTATGCGATGGGGTAACCTAATGGTAAAAACATTTTCTTATTACGTCAAATGCTTGAGATCGATTTCCCATATCAGTGCAATATATGAAGCTCATTTGTGAGTCCCACTGACCCTATGCAATTAACTGATTGATCTATCCTGTCACTGGAATATACAGTATTGTTTTCATATCATCATCATAATTTCCAAATTGGAACTGTTGCTGTAAACTACTACAATGTATTCATATCTAATGTAGGGTTGTAAATTGAGATATGCTGCGTCATACAGCATATAAAAGCATATGTAGGACTGTGATAAGGTACAATACGTCATGAGCGTTTTGATTAAAGATCAATGAATGGTCATTTCTATCAATATTTGAATATTTTGATCCGTTTTAGAAATAGTCAATGCATGCTACAGAGCCTTAAATCACATGCATAAATTTCAGAGCCTGTTCCAAAAGAGCCAATTCATGAAGTGGAGATCACGTCCTTCGCTCGTCACCCTCCCCATGTAAGGCAGATAAGGCAATCTATTGATGACATAGAGCACCACGTACTGAATGCAGGTATGTATTCCTTAACTTTGACCCCTATAGCTACAGGTGCTATAGAACAAGAGTTAATGTTTCATTAAAAATGGAGGCAAAAACTAAATAACTACATTATCATCTTTACGCTTCAAAATGTATAAAGCTCTTAGAAAGCATAATGTGATAGGTGAACGCCAGACAACAACCAGACTATTTATTATATGGAAAATTATGATAAACTATCTATTTGCTGTTTCAGGTGGTATGTGTGTATACCCAACGCATGGCGATCCGAATGACGATACTGGGATCTGTAGATTAGTTCTAGAGAGAGTAAAAAGCGGTTTATTCAGGTCTGGTGTGGCTTACACAGCAAAACGAATGAACGTGTCTGCAAATATAGATGCAGAACCAAGGCCTACTGAAGCACTCTATGACGCGATACTCTTTGTCCCAGATGAACCACCAACTGTATTTACAGTTATCTGTGACAAAATAACCAGAAGGAAACACTCTGAAGCGCTGCAGTACAACCAATCTATCGCTAAAGGCATAGTAGCAGCGGTTCGGAAGTACACAGATGAACAGTTCAGTGTCGTCTTTGGTCTGTTGCGAGAAGCCGAACTATCAGATGATGTCAGGTTCAAAAAGGCCATCGATAGAATACATGCAAAAACGTCTCAATTAGCTGTTCCCCTGGCACTTAGCATGTTTGAAAAGAAATTCAGAAAGGTCCTTCGAGCATTTCTGCTATCGCTTGCTGTGACTGACTGTGTTCGCAGGACGGACGCAGAGAATTCGTTATGGGTTCTTACCACGGAGCAGTTCCGTGTGCTTACTGAAAATATTGATCATAAACACGTGACAGTGAATACAAGGCCATCCTGTGGAGGAACTGTTTTGTTACTTGAAGTCGCTAAAAGATTACAAAGGTCTGGTCCCACAATGATTGTGACAAAGTCGGATGTCTTAGCAGAACAAGCCAGGTATTCATTCTTTATATATTATGTAACAATGTTTTTTTCTAGTGCTATCAGATATCTTTAAATAACTGTTCCTTCCCTCTGCTTCCCCACTGTGTGTCCTTCAGTGTGCCAGAATAACAACATGTTTTAATGTAAAGTGTAGCTATTGGAGTTTTAAGATCAACATGTTTAACTTGACATATCTTTCAAACACAATCTAAAAGTGCTTTCCTTCATTCCAGGACACAATCAGTTTGTGAATATGTTTTCAATGCTGATCAATTCCGAACAGAAGCTACCTGTCGAAAGCCAGACATAGTCAATGTGGTGGCAGACTGTGAAGTGACTAACTGTCTTGAAGACCAGAGTCGAAAAGGAATGACCTGGCACTTCATCCAAAAACCTCTGCCAGGTAGGACAATATATGTGTGTAGTGTTATGGGTAGCAATAAATAGTTACCCTCTTTGTCCACTTTATGTTATTTGAAAATATAGTATCTAATCAGGATGTGGTATCATTACGTTATTTTCAGACTAGCTTATGAACAGACTGCCAACATAGAGCTGGAATATTTTGTGCCGTTAAACAGAAAACACATACGCGTTCATGCAAAAATAGAAGTAGTCCCAATATCACCTGTTTCCTCAATGCCCCCCCCCCCCCCCCCCCCCCCCCCCCTTCCCAAATCATCACGCCATGAACCATTTGGATATTACCAAACAAGGTGACGGAGGACCCTAAATACAAGTTATAAGTACTTCTATTTTAATGTCATCCCTTCGGGGTTGAAAAAACCCCACCTTTTTACAATAGAAAGTCCTTTGCACCTGAATACATTAATAACAAATTTATAGGTGGTGAAATAGGTTTTAACGTCGCGTCCAAGACTATTGCACTTATATAGCGACGTGCATGGACGCGTAGTGTGTGTGTGGCTGCTTGTACTAGTCCGGACTGATGCCGATTTATAGTGCTAGCTCACTGAGATACCATGCTGCAGTTTAACATGAATACCCCACTCAGACACAGTATACTGACTCCGAGACGACCAGTCCTTGTTTAAGCCCCTTAATGCCGAGCGCCAGATAGGGTAACAACAAGTACCATCTTTTAACATCTTTAGGTATTTGGCTCTCCGGGCGGATGCTCTACCATTAGACCACGGAGGCGGTCTGAAAAATGTATAAGCACTTCCACATGAAATGTATTACTTCTGGTTTTCGAAATTATATGCTTGATGCAGAACAACTTGGAAAGATAAAGATCATCCCTCTGCTAAATAACAAAGCAATTATGAGCACTTCCGGTATGGTGAAAATATGTCAACTGCAGTACGTTTGTATAACAGAAAGTACTATCTAAATTACAAATTCATAAGCACTTCCCGCGTATGGGAAGTCATGTCCAGTGTAGTACAACTTTGAAGCTGTGAGTCCCATGCCTCTAAATTCCCAAATAAAACTATTTTAAGCACTCAATCTCAGCAATGACCATTATATTTGCTTATGTATTATCAATATCATTGAAAAATGTTTTATAGTATCATATGGTTTCTTGAGAGTTTGATCTTCATACATGTAATTTATAGAACAAGTTTGGAACTTTGAAATATGCCATGCAAAAAGGGTGTGTGGGGGGTGTGTGGTGTGTGGGGTGGGGTGGGGGTTTGTTGTTGTTGTACTTTTTTAGATGCGACCGAGTAGGCCCCGTTTGATGAGATAGATGCCTGGTGCTTTATAGGTTTGTAAGTCATTTAGGGGGTTTAGTAGCGCAGCTAGTATGTTGTGTTTGACTGGTTGCAGTTTAGTGTGGATTGGAGTGTTGTTCTGTGTTGCTGGTAATGTGTGCAATATTGTGTTCAGGAGTTTCTTTTAAGTTGCAGTTCGGGCATTTTAATTTGTTGTAGGTGGGAGTTTAGTGTGGCCTGTTTGTAGTTTGGTTATTACTCTGTCAATTCTTTTGGTTTTATGATGGATTTTTGTTTTTGAGTGTTTTTGTAGCAGGTGTTTCAGTTTGCAGTCAGATTTCTGATAGTTATTTTGTCACTTTGGGAAGATTTTCTCCTTTGTGATACTTTTAATTTCGTTTTTACATATTGGTACTTCCTGCAGTTTATGATAGAATACGTAATTGTATTTGTAATGAGTTGTGTTATTACTTAAACAGTAATCAGAGAAGTAAGACAGTTCTTACTTTACTTAGAGATCAATGAGAGCACGGGTCAACATGAGGTGTACTGAGAGGTACAGCACCAATCATCTGGTGATCTGAGTAGTAGACTTGAGTCTGGAATGCTACAGCACTTCCATGATCAGTAAACAACAAGTCCAGTGTAGCTCAAAGCAGTGAGTTGGAGAGTGAATAAGATTAGTCATTTTCTGCACATTCTACAAGAAGTCTTCAAGTTTCAGTTTTTCACTCAGATCACAGTTAAAAAACCCAGTAACGAGGACATGTCCTGAAGGTTCTGTGTGAAATGAGTAAGTGAATGCAACAACCGTGTCCATGACACTTTTGGAGGAACATACACACAAGCAATAACCGTCTCTAAATAATTATGCATGACCTCGAGGTCAAAATCCAAAACGAGGCTAACCCCGCAAGCAGTCAAATCATGACATCATGGCGGCCGAACACTGCTGTGTGTCTCAGTGCATGTCGGATGCACGTTATGACAAATCGGTCAGTTTCCACAGCTTCCCTCAGGATGCAGATCTGCGGAAACTTTGGATAGTGGCTATTCGACGCGACGAAGAACCTTTTTTTACGGTAGGTATAATTTTCATTCAGCTTTTTTCGTTTGAATCTAAGAAAATATCACTGTAACTGTCACCTGTCAAACAGTCGTGTTGAGCATGATGCATGCCGCTGTCATATAGTTCTCATATAGTCAACACGTAGTAATGAAAGTAAATTACAATCAGAGGCAGGTATAATACTAATGAAGTGAAAAAAATGGGCAAATCGGCATGTTACTCTTTTCAGCTATTTCTTGTGCAACGAGTCGCTGCTCGATGGAAACATCGCTCGTTCGTGACATTTTAGATACGTATACAAGTCATCAGCGATCTGCATCTAATTGTTGCCATAGTTTTTTTTCTTAGATGAAAAGAGATAATTTGAATTTTGTATGCTTTACTGGAAATAAAATCGGCACAGAGTTAATTTCTGCTTATATGGATTAATGGCATATTCCGATGTGGTACTGACATTATTATCATCTGTCTTAGGGGTAACAAAGAAAACAACTGTCTGCTCTAACCACTTTTTGAATGAGGACTATAAGTACACGCCAGTCAGAAAAACCGTGAAGCAAGGGATAGTGCCATCTGTGTTTCCCTTAAGCTCTGCAAAAACAACAAGGAAAGGTCCACCCCTCCGACCCCTAGCAAGAATGAGAAAACAGAGGTAATGGTTTATTAATGTCAAGTGATTGAATCAGACACAAGCCCATACATAAAACAAGTCAAATACCATGTTTGAACATCAAAGTGAAGTGTTTTCGTTTGATTTTGGTCGTCAAAGCAAGCAGGATTTTATGTAATTCTCAGTAATAAATAAACTAGCAACATCATTCAGCTTTAACCTAACAGGTCAGTTCATTTTCCTTTCGTTATACACTGGCCAGAGACCATAGAATAGAGGGATGGCCCTCCCCAACATTTTACCATAAACCATCAGCGCTATTTCATGGTCTCTGACACTGACAGACAAGGTTTCATAAAACTTTTTGAGAATTGAATACAACTCATCATGATTGTGATCAGTTTGACAATGTTTATGTTTCAGTTTGGGGAACTTGCAAAACTAGCCTGTCTTTGTAAACCCTCAGACTGAGACACAGACTGACCTCTGCCTTCCTGACATCCAACAGATCCAGTTGCGGATCCAGCAGCTTCAGCAGGAGAAAGCTGATCTCAGCAGGCAGCTTACTATTGAGAGATTTGCTGTTGAACGTTTCTCCCATGATGATGCCATGATGCATTATTGAACCTCCTTCAGAGTTTATCACTCTTTCAAAATATTTTTCGACTTTTCGAACCCAGTGCTTTTAACATATGCAGCAAATATTATGTATGTTCAGATTATATCCCTCTTGTAGGAAGACCACGCAGTATGCTTCTAATTGATGAACTTTTCATATTTTTTGTACGACTAAGACTTGGCACACCCGAGCAAGACCTGGCAGTTAGGTTCAATTGTCATATTTCAACTATCAGCAGGACATTAATCATTGGTTGCAATTTCTTGTACTTTGTTTTAGGATCAATACCGATCTGGCCTTCTAGAGTGCAGGTGGATCGCCACATGCCCCAGGATTTCCGGTTGACATACCCATCCACAAGAGTTATTTTGGACTGCACAGAAATCAGGCTTCAAATTCCATCCGCCTTAGTGGTAAATTCCATGTTCTACTCCCACTACAAAAGCAACTGCACTCTTAAAGGTCTGATTGGTATTGCCCAACATGGAGCTGTAACATTTGTTTCATGTCTCTTCACCGGTGTGATGTCTGATGTAGAAATCACTAAACTTTCCGGGATCCTAGATCTTGTAGAACCAGTAGACAGTGTCGTGGCTGATAAGGGCTTTACTATTGCAAGTATTCCCAGTGAGAAGGGTCTTGGTTTACATATTTCTCCCTTCCTGCATAACTGTGGTCAGTTTACAGCTGAAGAAGTTGCAGAGACCCAGAAAATTGCATCTCTTAGGATTCACGTGGTGAGACTTATCAAATGAGTTTAACAAAATCACCTGTTTGACTCCAGCATCTCTATTGCTGAACTGGGCAGCATTGACCAGTTGCCTGTATAATATCAGGTTTTCATACAGCAAAAAAAGTGTAGGTTTCCGTCTTCCGGAAACCTTCCGGATACCTACCCATTTTGGATCCGGCCCGGAAAAACCTTCCAAAAAAAATGTCAAAATTTGAGGGGTGCATTTTGTTCACTTAAGTGTGAAACACATAAAAAAATTATCTTGAAAATACCAAGAAATTTGAAGGTTGCTGAAGGCATCTGGTAGGTTACCGGAAGGTTTCCGGAAGGTATCCGGATGCAAATTTTCTTCATGTCTTGTTTCTGGTTATTAATGTTAGTCTGTACATATGAGATAGCTGTTGTAATATTCTTTGTTATTTTAGTTGTAAATATCCTCCTAAAACTGAGATATGTGGGCATGCATTGTTCACAAGTTCGATTCGCGACATGGGTACAAATGTGTGAAGCGTATTGCTGGTGTCACCCACCGTGATATTGTTGCAATATTGCTAAAAGTGGCCTAACACCATTCTCACTCAGAAAAAATGGAAAGTCATTGGTCATGTGCTTTGGCATTTGGCCCTGGTGAAATTAAAAGATTAGTTTGGAACGGTATAATTACTTGTTATATCTGGACAGTGTAGTTTAATG